ACTCTTTCGGAACGAACACATTATAAACGAGTCTCGAATTGTTATTTCACGTAATAAGAAAAGAAAAAAAAATCTTGATAAAAACATAAATAAGGGAAAGAATCGTTCTCATCTTTCCTTTCATGTAATAAAAAAGAAATTTTTTTAATAAAAATAAAACAATAAAAGAAGAATTCAAGATTTAAAAAAAAATTATTATAAAATATAATATCTCTTAATAATTTGTTTTTGAGATTTAATAAATTATTGTCATATTAATATATAATTTTTTTATCATGTTACTTGTATTATATAATATTATATATATATAGACGTTGTGTTCATATGTTCTATATTTTTTTATTTTGTCATATCACTATATACTATATTCATGATGATGTCATCGTGTCTAAATTCATGCTACATAGGCTATTAATCAGGAAATTAATTTGCACTATCAAAAAAAAATTATTATTTTTTCTTTTTTACGAAAGCATATTTTAACCATAAATAAATGTAGCCACTGACTGTTGAGTAATTGCAGCCATTGACAGGATATGGTGTGTCTAAAGTCCTAGAATCCGGACACTCAGATTATAAGAAAGATGATTTAGTGTGGGGCTTTACTAAATGGGAAGAGTACAGCTTAGTCTCTTCAACTCAAATACTTTTTAAAATTGAGCACACTGATGTTCCACTTTCTTACTATACTGGAATTCTTGGTATGTATTTAACAATTTTATTTTATTTAGATTCTTAACAAAGGATGCTCTTGATGTCAATGAAGCCTCAATTTATGTGATAAACGGATTCTTTCTTTGTCTGTATCATTAAGATATTGGTTAACCATCACAGAAGAGACTTATTTGATTGTTTATTCATTAAAATATCTGCTTAACCAGCTTTGGATTGGAGGAGGAAAATTATATGACCTTTATATTCATTTGGGCTTCATAGCTTATTTTATTTATTTATTTATTTATTTATTATTATTATTATTATTATTATTATTATTATTATTATTATTATTATTATTATTATTATTATTATTATTATTATTATTATTATTATCTTCTACAACCATGTCTAATTGATAAATTCATCCCTGTAATATGAGGTCAATCTAGTACTTTCAAGTTCAATTTCAGTTTGACTAGCAGAAGTGACGTCTTACGAGTATAAATTAGTCTTTAGTTATCAATTGAGATATTATATGGACAATGTTCATATACCAAATAAACTCTTTTACTTATCGTATTTATGTCATATTATGAGTCTTTTTGAATAGATATAAGTATTTATAAAAGTTTCTTTACTAGAAAAAAAATTTATTTATTTTCAATAGAGAAACTCTTTTAATCTTATCCAAACAGACTATATTATGTTTTGGTATTTTAGTATACATTTTGTGTCTTCACAAAAAATCTTTGCAAGCTTATTATGGATGTTTGTGGCTTATGATCCATGTTGTTATTTTCTTCTTTGAGCACAGGTATGCCTGGGGTAACTGCTTATGTTGGTTTCTTTGAAATAGGCTCTCCTAAAAAAGGAGAGAATGTTTTCATTTCAGCTGCCTCTGGTGCAGTTGGTCAACTTGTTGGTCAGTTTGCAAAATTGACCGGTTGTTATGTTGTTGGAAGTGCTGGAAGTAAAGAAAAGGTAGTTTTCTAATTATTATTATTATCATAGGTGCCCTGAATAAATGATAAATTAGCATAAAAAGTTTTGTTATTTTCAATGACACCAATGAAACTCTTACTCCAGTGATTAAAAAAAAAGTTGTCTTTTCCGCTAGGAGGGGCTGAATTACACCAAGTAATTTACATAAATACCCTTTTCAAATACCAAGCTTTGTGATTCTTTTTCTTGATTATGAAGTACCTTGATAAAGTAAACTTTGAGGCATGCATGCTGCATAATATTGGGATTTGCCAAGCTTGTAGGTAGCATTAAAGTACATGCTTTTCTTTGAAAAAAGGAGCATGTTATCTTGTATGTCATATATCAAGTTACATTCTTTAATGTTTTTTAACCATTCATATATATGTATTAATTTATTGATCTGTATTGATTTTTTTGCAAGGTATTCCTCTATTCTCTAATTGTCCAACTCCAACTCTTCTCATTTCACCAATATACAGTAAATTTATGAAGAGAAATGTAGCAGAGAGTAGCAATAGTACTTGCTTCTTATAAATTTTGGAAGATAAACACATTTTTATAGTATGATTAACAAGACCAAAAATCAATTCAGTTTAGATTTGGCAATTAAAATAAAATATTTAGTCGTTCTTTCACTGAAAAGCATATCTTATGCAAAAAGGTGGATCTCTTGAAGAATAAATTTGGATTTGATGATGCCTTTAACTACAAAGAAGAACCAGATCTTGATGCTGCATTGAAAAGGTCAGTATTTAACAGTTTGTATGGGAGGTAAATTTTAATTTGATTTGTTTAGTGCCTTCAAAATTTTAGTTACTATACCTAGTACCATGATACTAACTAGTGACAAATGGATCTCAATTTACAAATCAGGTACTTCCCAGAAGGCATTGATATTTATTTTGAAAATGTGGGGGGAAAGACACTTGATGCTGTACTCTTGAATATGAGAGTTCATGGTCGCATACCTGTTTGTGGAATGATCTCACAGTATAATCTTACTCAATTAGATGGTATAACAAATTTAGCAAATATCATATTTAAGCGGGTTCGTATGGAAGGTTTTCTTGCAAATGATTTCTATCACTTATATCCCAAATTCTTGGAGTTTCTATTGCCTCACATTAGAGAAGGGAAGGTTGTGTATGTGGAAGACATTGTTGAGGGCCTTGAGAATGGCCCTACAGCCTTGGTTGGCCTCTTTAGTGGTCGCAATGTTGGTAAACAAGTGCTAGTTGTTGCTCGAGAATGAATCAAATGTTTTTGCTTGTTGGTTGTTTTGTGTTGATTATGAGTATGGACATTGAAAATTCCAATCATCTTCATCTGTGATGTTTGTGATAGTTTTGTGGGCAAGTGTTAGTTGAAATGTAATTCCCTTTTGTAACATTATGATTGAGTCTTTTGCATATGTAATATTGATACTTCTAAACTTCATGTCATGAAGATGATAATGGAAAGTCATTTTTTAAGATTAAATAAGACTGACCATTATCCAACTTTGGAAAAATAACTATCAAACTACTTCTTCAAAAGATAACCCCACCCTGATCCTATAAACCCTGTAATAATGCTAACAAAATATACTATTTTAACTCAACTTAAACAGTTAAACTATATACATGTTGCAAGGAGTGGACCACTGAAAGAAAGAAGAAAGGCTTAAAACAAATCAACACAAATGGACTTAAAATAACATCACATCAATCCTATCTCTTAGAAAACATGGTCAATTAACTTTGAAGGAAGTAAACAAAGGCATAATATTTGCACCCATTGTAAGGCAGAATACGAAGAGCACAATTATCTTGCGGGAGTTTTTGCAAGCATGAACTAGCCTAATACTATTCATTATGAATTCAAGTATTTTCTATACTACAATTACAATTGGGACAGTAGTTATTGTGACCCTTAATTTTAGCTTTTGATTCTTTAATATTCCAAATGCCTTTGTTTCTAACGCATTATTAATAGAAACTTCATGTAGGTCTGAATTCATGGCAACTATTCCTCTCCCCTAAAACTTTTGGTGCTAACTAATGCTAAATTAATAAATACTAAGCGTTAACACGTGTTTTGTAAGCATACATTGATCCTTAATTGTCAACTTTGGATACTACATGGACCTTGTTCATAGAAAAAAAAATGGTACTAGCTCAACCTATAAGAGTGTAAACATTCAAATTAATTAAAGAATTCTAACACTCAAAGCATGTATGCGCAAATAAAAAAGCAATATATATATTGGGTTCCTTGGAAATTTTCTAATTAACATTGAGTAGCGTAAACATTTATAAATATCAGTTTGGAATCTAGTAGTATATAGGAGCTAATTGAATAAATTTCTCTAAATACACATCTAAAAAACTATATTGGTGTGAGTTGAAATCAATTTTAATTTATGTAAAATCTTAGGAGAAATTTTTAGATACTCTTTAATTGTCTTAATTACCTTAATTTATATATAAAAGAAAATAATAAGCTTTATATATATATATATATATATATATATATCCTATGTGAAAAAGATATTATTTAGAAATAGGAAATGTTCTTTATGATGTTAATTTGACATGGTTTCAGAGCGTACTATTCCTACCTCTTGTTCTGACCATTTTGATGATGAGTGCAATGCATGGATACTTGATTATGGGGCTATGGATCCTATGACACTTGATGCAACAAATTTTTTTGAACGCCCATGATACGATCTGATCTGCAGAAAGAGAAATATTGATTGTTTCCGACATTTGGTTCATCATTCCGTACAACTAGATAATCAGTAATGAGCACAAAATTAGAAGAATGAATAATTAAAAAGAAATGGTTGAACGTCACCATCCAAGCAAATTGATAAGTTAATAAGATTTACTACAGAGGTTTATTCCTTTGATAAGCACTAAGAAAAGAATTATCTCGAGACATAATAATCTCATTTTATGTCATCCAAAAGTGTTCACAAATAAGTAGGTAAAATTTATTTTTATATTATTATTAAATTAAAAGACGATTTTTTAAATTTAGAGTTTTAATGCTAATAAACGAAGTATTTTTATATAGAAGAAATGTTTGTAAAAACATCTTTGAGATATATTTTCGAAAAGGTTATCAAATAAAGTGTAAGACGTTATAAGTTAGATGAAGCATATAATCTGTCTTATATACATTAAATATTTATCTTTTATTGAGACTAATGGCAAAGTTCGCTTTGAATGTTTCATTCCTTAATAAATAGAATCAAAAGATCATCTCAAAACTCACAAATTTGTTAAAGAGAAGAACCATGCTTTCCATCATAACCAAATCCTTGAAATCATGGAGAAAAGCAGATAAAGTCACTATTATAGCTATTTTGCACCAACATTGCTTCTACAAGCTCCGTTTAGTATGAAAAGTTGATAAGTAGCCTCTTTGATCATATAAGAGGTACCATTTGGCAAAATACATTTAATGTTTGCATTAAATAAGTCAAACGATCACCTGCCATTATAAGGAAAGACAATGAAGATAAAAGATAACCTTCATAACCATTGTTATAAGGTTGAGCCTGAAGAAGATTGACTATAAAAAATACTCGTTCTTGAGTTTAGAAAGACTTGATTGTAAAAGAATACTTGGTTGTTAAACATGGAGAGGCTTGTTGTTAAAAGAATACTTGGATAGTTGCTTCAAGAGGCAAGTCATAGAATACTTAGGGTTAAACCAAAAGTGGCTTGTGAAAATAATACTTGTATATTTGTTTAAAGATAGTAAAACTCAATTTGGTTGGATTGAGAACTGGATGTAGTCTCGGTGGTTGAGGTGAACCTGATGGAGGACCATCTATGGGAAGTTCACACATGAAGACCATTGGACCTTTAACTAGGTTCATGGTTAGGAGGCTTGAGGAGGCTTCTATAAAGTAGGTGTTTCTTAGACCTATGCTCTATTTGAGCATTGAGTATGATTCCTCTATTTAGTCTCATAGTCTCTATTTTATATATCTTGTATAGTTTGAATTCTTTTCCCTTGTACATAGCAGATACATGTATAGGCTTATTTTTGCCTTTGTATTTGTAAGACACCTTTATCTTTCTTTATAGATCATACCCTTAGGATTTTAGGGTATGTTTCTTGAAGAATTTTACTTCATTTGACCTTATATTAAAGGTTATAGATTTTCATATTCTTAGTTTTAGTAGTGGGGTAGCAAGTAGCAATTGTGTAGGTGAAGCTAGCAATAAGGCATAGGCCAAATTTTACATATTAGGCTTGTTTTCAAGAATTGAGTTGATCATCATCTTCATATAATGAAAGGTTAAGCTACATGGATGATTCACCTTCTCTGATATGCTTTATACATCAAGTGAATTCATTCTTAATTCTTTGTACTGGTTGTTTTCTTAAGTAGGTTTCTTAAGAAGAGAGAATCTTGTAGTGGGGTGCTACAAGTAGGTGCTTCTTAGGGATTCAAGAAATGATTTCTTTAATAGTGTACATGTGTATTGCATGTGGTATTGTGATTGTAAAACTTCTGACATTAAAGATTAGTAGAAAATCTCAATTGGATTGATTAAGGACTAGATGTAGGTCAAAAGTGGATGTGGCTGAACCAGTATAAATTGGTTGTGCATATCTTTCTCCCTCCCTCTCTCTCTCTCTTTACACTTGAATTTACATTCTTGTATTTGTATTTTCGTTCTTGTTGTTATGTGTTGTGAGACATGTACATTGCATTAAGAATTGAGTAAGTTTAAAATTGCATTGAATCTGAACTAAGTATCCTATCTACAAGCTATAGGTCAACACACTTCTTTGGAAAGATTTAAAAAAGTTTTAAAAACCAAGATAGTTGTACAATAAAATTTGATAAACCAATTCACCCCTCCCTCTTGGTTAGGCCATCTTTTCTAACAATTGGTATTGATGGAAACCCCTTTGGAGAGACTAGATTGATGAAGTCTTCCTCTAAGTCTTCTTGAACGGATCTTTTCCTCTTGGCCTCCTCCTAGCTTTCTCAAAGACTTCCAATGATGTTAGAAGCTTTCTTCAAAAACACATAAAAGGGTAGAGAACCCCCTTGATGATGCCACACTCAAAGAGTGATAAGTCACTCCAAATCTCGTCACACTCAAGAGAGGATAAGAGAGATGGAACAAGTTTCAAGGATAGAAACAAGCTTTGAGAGAGAGAATTAGAAAAATTGCATCTAATTCATTAAAACTCAAAGTTAAAAGTTTAGCCAATACAAAGAAATCCTGTATATAGGAGTTTGATTGGCTTATGGTGTAAGTTAGACTAACAATGGTCAAGTGTAACCATGGTTAGGTATCTTGTACTTAAGCTAAACAATCCTAGTTAACTTTCTACAAGTCTAGTTAGTTGTCTAGAAGCTTATGGAGAAAGCTAAGCTAATCCTAGTTTAAGAATAACCTAGGTTAGCTTAAGTTAACTCCAACTACTTAACCTAATTATTACAACTACTAGACTAATGATTACTTTGACTAGTTTGTTGAGATGTCACTATCAAAGCCATGTGACTTATTTAACAAGCTTGGATGGCTTGTTCATTAAACTTGGACGTCCAAACCACTTGCTTAAGCAAGTGGATGTCCAACCTTAATGGGCTAGAAAAATGTTTGGGCCATCCAAGCCCAAATAAGTCTATGGCCTAGGCTAGTTACACCTTTCCTAAACTACTAATTACACCCTTAAAGAAAAATACAAGTACAAAATTTTTTATACTACTTGACCCAAAATACATGGTCAAAATATCCCATACAATCACTATTAAAAATGTAAGATAACAATAGGAGCCCTTAAGGTAGGATAGACCTCCAAATGTAGGGTACCTTACAAAATAAGGGTAAATGTCCTACAATACTTCAGACCATCTTTATCATTCATCACCCTTCTTGGTTCTTTTTCTACCAAATGGATCCTTGGGATGTAGGTTTACATCAAGTATCTAGAGCTTGTTCTTGAAAATTAATCAAGAGTCTTTAAAAATGGTTGGTAGTAATCTTCCATATGGTGAAGGAGTTTCAATACGTAGACCGCTTATTTTCAATGATGAAAATTATATGTACTGGGAAATTAGAATTAAAATTTTCATAGAAGTAATTGACATAGCTATATAAGATGCTATTAAAAATGGTCCATACATTCCTATGAGTGAAGAAAGAGGAGAGAAGAGAGAAAAACATTAGAGTGAGTGGAGTGATAATGAAAAAAAACACTATAATTATAGGGATAAAAACATCATCACATCAGCATTAACTCATGATGAGTTTTTTATTTATTTTATAATTTCTCAATGTAAATCATCTAAAGAGATTTGGGACACATTACAAGTTACACATGATGGTACAAATGATGCAAAAATGTGTAGAAAACATACACTTGTTAGAGAGTATGAGTTGTTTAGAATGAAAAAGGTGAGAGCATATATGAATTTCAAAAATGACTTTCACGTCTTATTAATCACCTCATAGACTTTG